TACATGAAAATCATTAGAAATTTTTACTAAACCAACCAGCCAAACTAGTTCTTGGTGAAGCTCAAGTTGCTCCCCTCTCTTGTGGTAAGTTACTAAACCTATTTTTACACTGGACAACTACTAGTGTTTTCTTCATATCGTCTTGTATAAAGCTCTGTTTTAAGTGATACAAGCTTTTCTGAAAAGATATTTCATTTCTCTATAACTCTTATTCAGGCACCAAAATCTAGTTTTGCTTGTATTTACCCGGAAAGAGATGATGAAGTACAAAGTAGGTGTTGACCAGATTTTCAGTTTTACAAATCCTCCCTGTACTACTGTTAGTTCTTTTAGCATAACCTTTGGTAAGAAACTGATATTTAGGTGATTTAAGACTCCCCGGAACACTAATATATATATATATCTACAACTTTCATAAAGACCATAAAGTCTAGTTCTTCCGTTTACATCTTTGAAACTTAGCCAAAATACAAGACAGTGGTATTGTCCAGAATTTCTATTTTATAAATTTAGGGTGATTTTCACCGATATCATGTTTAGTTCGACATGTTGGAATCACTGAACTTATATAAATATTTGATTATGTATTTAAGGTATATTTACCCTTATAAAATCTAAGGAAAAGTGTTTGAGGAAGTGGACGAATTTGGTTGGTCTGTGGCGTACACGATTCGAACTTTCTCAAGTTGTGGTTGAACTGTTTTGTGGTAAAATACCAAAGTTTGTGTATAAACTTGAATTTGTACTCTTTTTACTTACTGTAATATTTTAAAATAACTTGATCTTTTGTTTCCCTTGTCTTCAATTAATATGGGTGTATTCGTGTTAATCATGTATTGCAAGATATTCAGCAACTTGCCCACTTGTATGGATTGCTTGATTATTTTACATTATTGTTGGGACTTTATCTTTCTTGTGGCAGCGACTTTGTCACTCATCTCGACATGCCTCTTGATTCTGATCTTTTGCCGTCTTGACTTTAGATTTGTAGTTCGTCTTAAATTATGAAACTTATCCGTGTTAAGTTCGAACTAGAAAGTCATTTTTAATATGATTCTTGATTCTCTTGACTATTGGGTTTCGACCCTACTTGAATTGGGGCTTCGGTCCATCTTGATACCTGATTATGCTTAGTGTGATGGCATGACGTACATATTGGGCGAAAATGGATATTTGGCAAACTCTCTTGGATCGATTATATATGCTTTCTAGACCATGAATCTTGAACATTGTTATTGATATTTGGAAACACTTCAAGGTTTGATATTCATACTTTTGATATATTTATTTACTTGCTTTAAATTTATGTTTCATTTGAGCTACCTATGACTGAAAAGGAAAAATTGAAGAATGTAATGGCTCTAAGCCTAAAATTTATAAACCACTAAGCTTTATTCTTAGCGATAGTTGTCTTCTATCGTAGGTAATGTGCGAGAAGAGATTTGAAGAAGGCCTTTTGGAGTAGACTTTTCGGGAGCTTTTGTGGAGATCACATTTGCATATGCACTTATATTTTGCATAGTTTTGGGTCTTGTGCATGATCTATATGTCACACTTATGTATGTAATTTTTGAGGCTTTTTGGATCTCAAGACCAAAATCTTATAACTTGAATTTGGTGACTTGTTTTACTGTTTTAGGGTGTGTTAATAACTCAAGTCTTGTAATATGCTGAATTTACGCTCTGCCTTGTAAAAATGTACAAAGGAGAAGACTAATTTTCCTTTTATACTCGCTGGTTTGAAATTCATGTACAATATGAACATGCAGTGATGTTGAACGAAAAGTATAATTTTGTTAGGAAGTTGCTTTAACGTGTTAATTATTCGAGAAGGGTTGTATCACATTATCTTGATATTTTAACATTGTATTTCATTTAAGAAATTTTACGAAGTGTATTTTCAAAAATAATAATAATAATAATATTACACTTGAAACCTTTATCGCATGGGCCTATTTCCGCTACGAAATTATTATGAATGTCTTTTTAGATTAATATTTTTTGAATGTTGTAAGTAGTAAGTTAGATTTGTTTCGTAAGTAGGACCCTCCCAAAGGGGTTGTTACAATGTTATAAGTAGATTTGTATTTAAGGTGAATGTCTATATTTTAGAGAGATTTAAGGTTTGTTATTTGGTGGTTAAGTCACTTTTTCTTTTTAAATAAAGGATTGTAATTCATCCCAAAATTAATATAATTTCCTCTCTTTTTCTTGCAATATTCTTCTTTTCTTTATTGTTTTATTTCAGATCTTTATATTTCAAGACTTGTGTAGTAGTATCAAACGGCATTATTCTCACGATATAAGACGTGGACTCAAATTTTTGCTATTTTTGGGCCGGTGTCCCCGCCTATCCCACGTATAATAGGAATAAAATAGTATTTGAATTTAAATGACACACTTTCCTTATTAGTTCATTAAATTAAAAAAAGAACGATATATTTTTATGTTTGAAAATAATTTAACTTTAAACTTTTTATTTTATCCACTTTATATTTAATGAGAAGCCTTCATAGTCACAAAAATATCATGGGCTACAAAACTTTTGTCTTTAAGATTTTTAGGACCACATATATAAATATATATATATATATATATATATATATATTTTTTTTTTTTACTTTGTGGGAAGTCGATAAAGGAAAACCCTATTTAAAAAATTTAAATCGCGAGCCATCTAAAGAGATCCATAGTTCTGTTTTGCCACTGTCTTTTCGCGTTGGCGCTTTAGGGATTTGGCGACTAAAACTTGAAAAAGGTAAGAGGAGGAAGCAAAAAAGCAGTCTTTTGATCATCTACCCAAAAACTATTTAAAAGAAAGGAAAGCGAATCCTTTGATAATCTTCCAATAGGGTTCTATCCAATTCAAAGTTCAAACATACCTCACTCGCCCCGAACCTTTTCTCCATCTAAACAAGCTTTCAGTATTCACACAGTTCTTGCTGGGTTTTCTGACTTCAGATTTTTGACAAAATTGTTGGTTGGTCTAAAATCTTTTTACAGTCTGCGATGAGCTTTTCTTAAGCAGAGAGCCGCTGCTCATCTGCATTTGTTGCTGGGTCCTTGAAATTCTTTTCCCACCATGGTAAGTTTTTACACTGTTTACTTCAATTTTACTGTAATGGTTATTCTGTAAAGAATTTTCTTGCCAGTTCTGTGTGATATGGAGGGAATGAACCTAGCCGAAAGGAAGTAATCCGATGAAATTCATGCCCTTAGGATAAATTAGGAAGTGGGCCCCTTCCCTTAATAAACTCGTCTAGATCTGTTTGGCGCATACCGAGCAGTTAGAGTTCACCATTTGAGTTTCACTGTTGCTTGCCTCTTTTTCCAATTCCTTAGCAATATTCATTCAGCTTCTCTTCTATAGGGAAATTCGAGCAGAAACTAGAGACCTGTCATCTCAAAAACTTGTGCCCCTACTCTTACATTCCATTTGTTGCGTGAATAAGAACAAGTTGGTTTGTCTAAGTTGCCTCCAAGTCTCTCGATGACATGTCTGCCTAGGAGATCATTGTTAGTTGGTGATGAGTCTCCTACAGTTTTGATTCTTCTCCTCCTCTACTTTTGTCTTGACATGTCTTAGCATGTTGGGGTCTCCTGTGATCTTCTGTTGTGCTTTATTACCTTTGAGAAGGTGTTTCTGTGTCTCGTTTGGTTAAGCTTCCACTATTTTATTTATGCCTTTATTTTCAAATCTCTCAATCTTAATCTCGAGGTGTTCCTCCCTGTGTTTAGAACACAAAGACCTCTGGCAAGATAATCACACACCTGTTTTCCCCCTGTATTCTGACATGCTTTTGTATCTTCCATAATGATTGTACCTTTGAGTACAAAAATAGTCCTAGGAATGTTCTGTGAGCTTTCATCTTTTGCGCAGGCACCTTTGCCTTCAATGCTATGTGGAGAATGACATAGCCATAAAAGCACTTTTCACAGTCATCCTTCTAATTAAATGCTTCTTTCTTTCCACTCAGTCGTACCGTACATCTGTATCAGAAAAGTTTGCTGTCATATCCGAAGATTTGTGTCCCCAACAGCAAAATAAAATTTTCTATTCATAAATATAACTAGGTTTCTAATCAAGCACCTTAAAGAAATGATTGAGGAAAAATATAGATTGTTGTGGTTGACAAACAGGAGAATACTAGCTTTTACTTGGATCTCTAGAGAGAAATAAGACCTTCTCTCTCTTACTTTTTGTTGCTTTTCCTTGAATTTTGAACCTTTTTGTTTAGATGATCTTATAGATAAGTGGGAGTTTAATTCACTTTGGTGTAGATTATAATCTTATATTACATGGATCCTTCATATGTCTTGATGTACCCATGTTGAATGGTCAGACATGCACGTGGATATCTCATTTGAACTTTTCAAATTACACTAAAATTTAGGAACATGCTGCACTTGCCTATGTTACATTGATACTTCAAGGCCAAAGTGCTTCACTTGACTATGCTACATTGATACTTCATTTGCCTTGACGTACCCCTGTCGAATGGGTGTGGGTACTTTTTGTTGGTTCTTTAAAATGCACTAACAATTAGCAAAAAACTTGATGCGATCATATGGGATCCTTGCACATCCTGGACATGGTACGTGTCCTTGAAAAGATCTGTGTAACCTAAGTGGTTACCTGCATCAGTTAATCACACACGTAACCTTAGCCGTCTATGTAACATACTCCCTCCATTTCATTTTATATGACAATGTCCGATGGGGCACGATGTTTAAGAAGAAAAGGACTGCAAAAAAGGCTACTCAGTGCTCTATACCTAAAGTTTGTATCTCTGCATGCTATGGTTTCTTTCCCCTCTAACAAGAAGACTTAGACTCTGTGTAGTTTTATATTTCTTGCATAATGATATAGTGCATCTTTAATCAGTTATGTTGCGATTGATTGCAGGTCACAATCTGTCTAAATTGTGGTGATGAAGGTTGGACTAACGCATTTGTTTTCTGTGTGAAATGCCTGGAAGTTGCTGTGCATCGGTAAGTTGAATCAACACTGATGTTATTGTTATAGTTCAAACATTGTACTCTCTTTATTGCAATTTTATTCTCGAGCATGATCTTTCGATCACGGCTTGGGTCGTGACTGGCGCTATGTGAACTTGGCTCACCTAGAAATCCAACCTATTTTCATGACAAAAATTTGGCAGTTTTTATACTGGTAGCATTCCAATAATCCTGCTTTTAACCAATCACCACAAAAGATCCACCAACAAAAACCACAAACACAGAGACATTAACAATCAATATTTAATAGAAAAATGTCAAGACATCATAACGAAACTGTCAAACAAAACAATGAAAAATAATGCTTATCATAGAAAGTGTAGGGATTACTTTGGGCAACTCTCTACTAGTGGCTAACATATCTTCTTTACTAGTGGCTCACATATCTAGAGTAGTAGTATCAGACATCTAACGAATCTGTAAAGGATGAGAAGAGGGGGTCAGTCACTGACGGGTGAGTGGGATAACTCAACAATAGTCGTTTTGTTTGGGGATTAGTATTATACACATACACATACAATTGGAAAAAACATGTAAAGTAACAATGAGAAGAGACTGTGAATACACAATATTCGACAAAAGTGATTTATTATCAGAGGTATGATCAGAAGCGCCTGAGTCCATGACCTACGGTCCAAGAGTACTAGACTGGGAAACACAAGCAAAAAAATTACCAGCAACAGAAGTATCAGTCTGAGCAACCGGGACTACTTATGGAGATGTCTGCTTACTTGCTCGATACTGAAGGAATTCATTATATTGCTTTTCAGATAAAGAAAATCCCTGGTTACTTGTAGTCTCGGTCTGAGCAACTTAAGCGTATTTGGGCGGTCGACCATGTAAAGAATAGCACACTTCACGAATGTGTCCAAGTTTATTACAATAAGAACACTTGGGTCGAGATCTTCCAAAATGACCTCCTCGTCTATTCTCCATAGTTTGAGATGTTCGATTTTCTACTGTTTGGGATGCAGCAGAGGAGTCAAGTGTCTGTGATGAGATCACTTGGTGACTGGGTGCTGTAGCAAGGCGAAGTAATTGAGAGAATAATTCAACAACTGTAGGGACAATCGAGCTAGCCAAAATCTGGTAACGTACTGAATCAAGGTCATTAGAAAGTCCAGTGGGTATAAGAGCTAGAAACATCTTCTGTCATTGCTCTTGTTGCTTTTCAATACTAGCAGAAACTGCATCAACTTCTCAAATTCTGCAGCATATACTTGTCCCAAGTAAGTAGACATATCCAATTCATGTTTCTTCAAGCTTGTCATTCGCAATATCACATCATAGAAACGAGATATGTCATTAGTGTATAAAGTACGAGCCTTTTTCCAAACTAAATGACATGCCTGGAATGGACGAAACAAAGGCATCAACATGGAATCAATAGATCGCCCCAAGATACTACATAACTGAGCATCGATCTTTTCCCACTGTGCTTTGGCCTTTATCTCTCCCTCACTAGCTTTTTTGGTTAAGTGATCTTGAACACCTTGACCCTTGCACCACAGTTCAACAGAGGCAGGGTTTTGAAAAGCGGTCGTTTCCTTGCTTAAAGCGAGAAGCGAAGCGAGGCGACCCTATGACCGCTTCTGCTATATGAAGCGACTTAGGTAGGCAAAAACGTGCGCTTCCCACTAAAAAGCGAGAAGCGCTGAAGCGAAGCGAGGCGACCGAAGCGAGCGATTCCCTGTTTTAAACACATGCCAACCTATTTAATTAAAAAGAAAGGTGTTCTTTTATTAAAACATACGAGCAACAGAGAGAAAGAGGCGACTAGGGTTCCAAGTCTTGTACACTTTTCAACTTAAACATATGACCAACAACAACAGGTATGTGATTTCTTCTTTCACTGTTTCAGCGTCCAAATAGCAGCGAAATACTGGCGAATTTTTTTTCCCCTTCGGTTCTTCTTTTTCAGTCTTCTCATCTTCGTTGAAATGCTGCCCAGTTCTTCTTTCACTGTTTTTATGCTGCCCAATTTTTAACAGAATGGTATACTGCCCTTCCGCTTCACTTCAAAAAAGCGAGCGCTTCGCTTCTCGCTTTAAGCGAAATGGGGGTTGTCGCTTTTCCTCGCTTTACGCTCTTTACAACACTGAACAGAGGAAGCCTAAGCTAAATACTTTGAACTTCCCATTAAGGGCTCTGAAGTAATTATGAAGCTTGAATTTTCAGAATCCGTGTTTTTAGGACCAAATATATCAAATCCCAAAGACATCGTTGGATTGGAGAGAGGTCTAGAAACAAATAAAAAAAATAGTCAATTGTATCTCACTAAAACAGGAAGGAAACACTGTTTCTGCCGGGAAAAATCACTGTAGCTGCCGGAAAAAATTGAAAGTGATCGGAATAAAAAGAAAATATTATGGGTAGGTTCGGAATTACTAGACGATCAAACTATCCAAAAGAAAAAATTTCAAAATCTGGCCGGAGTAGACCGCACACGCCAGCACGTGGGACAGACGCACTGCCAGAAACAGATCTCCGACAGGCGCTTGGGGGCGCGTGGAGGAGTCTTTGCCGGAGAATCTTTCTTGGGTTGGTCGCCTCTGTCTTGGGAACCTTGTGGCGGTGTTGGATTTTGCACAACACCAAGAAAAAAGGAGGGAACACAAATCAGCCCTAAAAAGGTCGCCGGAATTGAAGCACGACGACTGTTTTGGCTGGGTTTTCTTTCCAGGATGTTTTCTCACTGCCGCTCTGATTGCATGTGAGAAATAATACATGGGAAAAATATTGTTTATGTATTAACAATAATACAATGAGCTCTATATATAATACATCTATTCCTACTACATATGGGGCTAGGACTAATTACACATATACATATTCTAACATTCGATATTCAGAGGCGAGTCCTAAGCAAGAAAAAAACCTGGAAAAGATTCTACTGGAAATGGCTCCACATGCCGGCACGTAACATTGACACGTTGTCCGAGCTTTTGGTGGCTCGTGAGGGTGCGTCTAGGGGTGTTTTTAGCTGCGGCTGGTAGGGGTTTGTTCGCCAATGCGAAGAACACCTGACGCGCAGTGATTTAAACACTCTAAAATCGGGGTTCTCTTCATTTTTCACTATTTTCAAGTTTGAGCTCGGCCTAGAAGCGATTTGAAAGAGGTTTTTCATCCCAACTTCAGAGGTTAGTAAATTTTAACTTGTTTCATTACATTTCTATAAACACCCATTGATTTTAACCTTTAATCAATGCTTTTTCATGGTAGAAATTAGAGATTTAGGTAGAAATTGGGGATTGTTTGAGAAATTGAGATTTAGACCTCAAAATGAGGTTGGATTTCGAAACTAATCACATAACCGGGCTCGGGGGTGAATGGGTAATGTATTAGTTTGTGTATAGGACTGACAGAAGGTGGTGAAGCTGCTCGGGCCGTGACTTCGCCCAAAAATAATTAGAAATAGGGAGAAAACTCAGCCTATGGAAGCTTAGTGCTACAGAGGAAACTCATCTCAAGATGGTAGCAATGGCTCGAATGCCATGAAAATTTCTAGCAAGAAAAAAGCTTCTTGTATTTGGTGTATCTTTACATCCGAGGAACAGTACTTATACAAAAGGTCCTATGACTAATTTTGGAAAGAAAATCAATTACAGCTATTACAATAAATCAATTAGAATAGGAATTTCCTAAATCAAGTCTCCTACAATTAAGTTTCCTGCAATCAAGCTAGTCAACAACTAGTCAATAGACCATTTGGGTCATTACATTTTAAGTGTGTATCTCTGTGTTTTTATTTGGTTTTAAAGCATGGGCATCAATGATCTTTATAACTAGCTGGAATGTTTACATGAACCTGTGATGGAATTGAGATTCCTTGCTGTAAAATCATCAGAAACCTTTTTCCGTGTGAACTATATCTATGAAATGGGAATAACTTACACATGTACTTGTGGTGGACAGAACGGTACTTGTACTAGTGTGAGGTAGCAGGTTCCTAGTGGAATAGTCGTATGCATCGAGTTCGCCTGTATACCACCGTACTTAAAAAAGAGGAAATGGAAATAACTTACACCTAAATTATTTTAATTGTGGATTGGACTGATATACATTGTGATTTCTCAGACACACACAGTTCTAGAATAAAGTTTAAGATGGGAATCAATATCAGCTGTCAGCAGTTCCTATGGGGTTACTCACAAGGACATCTAACCCTACTGATATTTTTTTTTATAAAGCTTTGAATTTGAACAAACTAATGTAGCTATTTGTATTTTATTAATTCGAATATAACTTAAACTTGATAGTCCCAACTAATTTACCTTTTCTCCTTGCGTTGAACATTCTTCGAAATGTTTGTCTGAGAAAAACTGCCCCTGTTTCTCTCATGGTTTGGTTGGTTAACTTCATGGATGGTTGTCTTAAATCAAGTACTTTGATTTTTCGTTATTGAGATCTCAAAACTAGGAAATTCTGTTAATCAATTCACAGTAGAAGAAGTTTCATCTGAACAATTCTGATTGTGAAAGGAAAACTGAAAAGTAATAGGAAAGGAACATACGAACTCTCACGACTATCAAAGAGGCAACAATTACTGAGCCCCTAAACTTTTTTGACGAGGTAATAGATTCTAATGTTTGAAAGGGAAATACCCCAATTTAGTGTTTATACCAAGTGGAGAAATCGCCCATACTAGCAACAACTATATAAGTATTCAAAGAAAGAAGAAAAGCAAGTACCAAAAAACAAGTTCCTTTCAAGAAGCTTTGAGATGACGCATCTCCAAATAGACCATCCACTAGAACCCCCTTCGGTGCATTTCCCTTCAGTTGTCGAGCTCCTTAAAGATTGGGAAACCAAATGTCGATGAATATATGTTTTAGAAGATCCATATATTATTGGAAGTGGAGATGATATTAACAACCTTTTATAGAAAATTTACAGTATTACTTCCTCCATTCAAATTTGCTTTCCTCTGTTTGTTTTTTGGTCCATTCCTAAAAGATTTGTACCTTTCTATATTTAGAAGTTATCATATTTTTTACTTTCCCATTCCTCTATGTCATGACTTGTTGTGGGTCCACATAATACCAAAACAAATTATTTGGTACAACAATACTTTTGGTATTTTATTCATATTCATTCCATGTCAAAAGTTTTTCTTTATTTTTTAACTTTGTGTCTAGTCAAATGTGCCAAACAAGTTGGACCAGGAGTATCATTTAGTTAAAAAGACTGTGATTTGGGGAAGATCATTGGTAAAGAACTTTCAGAAAGCTCTCAGTGCAGTTGTATTATGATTTTCAAAGCCCATGTGAAATCACATTTTGGAGGACAAGGGACCAAACAAAATGATTTTTTAATGGGTTGTGCAATTTTGTCTTAGCGACAGACGACCTAAGAAGGAGAAGACAAATACTTTTCAGTTGATGCTGCTAGTGCGGGAAAGATGGGGAGGATGTAGACCATGTATTAATACATTGTAGTTTTGCCACATAACTATGATCCTTGATTATTGTATGTTTAAGTAACATAGTTTGGGAGTTCCTGGTGCGTATTGGAAGCGTCCACAAGTTAGGAAATACAAAAGATGGTCAATATGAAGGACTTGTATTGTGAGAGTAGCTCCTACAGAGTCCACTGTGGAGAGTCAAGAGCTCCTTTTTATTTCATTTATATCTTTTGCTTTGAAATGATACTCCAAACTGTATAGGTGGATGAAGTTGCTTATCAAAATAAGTTATATAGATGGATGAAGTTTCGGATTTTGTTGTAAAACCATACTTTTGTATGTAGCGATGCCATTTATTCATTAAATCATTGTCTTATTAAAAAAAAGGATCTTTACAAACTAAAAGTTCTTTGAAATTTGATGAACCTACAAGGCTACAACCCTTTGCCTTCAACACTTAAATTAACCTTAAAAAAGAAACTTCTAATGAATCCAATTTGTTGAGCTATTCGTTGTTTGAATGTTGTACAAAATTTTGGTTATTCGGTCAGAAAGCAACTTCCTCTTCCTCCAGGGTTCTGTTTTCTGTTAGAATGTTTGAGTTATATATATAGTGGTAGAAGAGTTGGGTTCTTATGTTGCTTATTAATTCACATTGGACAAATATCATATGTGTAATGTGTCTGATACTGTAGTTATTAGAGCCTCTACGATCTTGGTAGAGAATCAAGTAGCTTCTCCCTACCAGCTGATGGCCTTATGTCATTTGACTTGTTAAAGTTTTTCCTTCTTCCTTCTTTGCGGTGACCACCTTGGCTAGAATGCCTCTTTCCGGTGACCAATCAGGCGGCACCATACTTCTCTGGCAGCATCACAACTCTTTTCATGCGTCTGCTCAAATAGCACTAAGTCACTTTACAGCATTGCCTTCTGGTTCTTTTTGAGAATCTTTCTTGGAGCTGTTTTGGTAATGCTGTGTTTCTTTTCTATGATCATTCCAACTATATCGTGCTTCTTTCCCGTGATTGTTGTAGAGGTGCGTGTCTCTTTTCGATGACTGTTTCGGCGTTCGCTCTTCTTTCCTGTGATTGTTATGATGGCACTTCTCTTTTTTATGATCGTCCAGGTACTGACGACTTTTTCTGGCAATTGTATCAGCAACTTGACGAGATTCCAGCGACCACAAATTTTCTGGTAGCTTTTTGTAGATTTTCCAACGAAATGTAATTTCTATGTTCTCAAAATAAGCAAACACAATAATTTGCCTACTAGTTTTGGGTGTGCTAGAACTTTTACATTTCGCATAGTTAAGTTCTTAATTTGGATATTATCCGACATTAAACAAATATCATACATAAATGTGTGCATTGTACCAATCACATCATTAAGCCTTCATTATGTCTCTTTCATTCTCTTAGTTTCTCATGGTTTTTATCTTTTCTCTAGGTCTTTGAAGTTAAGAATTTTATTTTCTTTCAAATAATATTTTCTATGGCATGACTTATTAGTTGCTGTTAAAGGTTAAATACCAAGATGGGTTACAGGTAATCCTTTTGTGTTTCGTTATATTGTTTGTTGATCTTGCTTATTCAGCTACTGCCTTAAAAAAGTCACCTATAAGGAATTTGTCAACTGGGTCTGTGATGACTGTGAAGTGAAGGAGCCAGGCGAACTAAACACCAAGAAATCTGATGCCATCTCAGTAGAAAATAGGGATTGCACTAGTTTAAGACATTGTAAAGCAACTTCTAAAGCAAAAGTGGATGTTCCTGAGACAAAATTAAAGAGTTGTCAAGGTAGGGATCAGCAACTTCATCAGCCAGGTGCTGGGATTGATTCGGTAGAGAATTGTCGTATAGCGGGTGATAGTCCAGTTGTGAAGATGAGCAAGAAGAGATCTAATCCTGCTTCATTAAGAGATGAAAAATATGAGCAAAGACTAGTACATTGCTCTTCTGAGCATTCCCACGAGTCACAGACAAGCATTGAGTGCAATGAACAAACTCAATCAGCTAATGCATCTCCATTGCCGGCTAAGCGATTAAAGGAAGAAGTTACTGGCCCACTGGCTAGGGAGAAATTGCATGCTCGCCATTTGAAGGAACCTTGTGAGGGAGATATTCAGCCTGGCACACAGGATGATTCTTCTAGCATGATTGAAAAGACAATGAGTATGTCGTCGCGTAGCAATCATCATGAAGAGGAATCAACGATTGGAAACGAAAGAAGATTAACACCTCAAACTAGAACTGTTGTTAATGGAGATCCTTCTCAATTTTCAAAAGGTGAACAGCCAAATGAACATGGTGGCCTGGACCGAGCGCAACCTCTTATTGATTTCATTTGGAGGTCAGGAGATATGTCATGAATTTTAACTCAGGAGATAATCTAACTGATGGATCTATTATTGTGTTAATGAAAATTTATCCTTTATTGTGATCTGACAGGGGTAGTTTTAACATCTGGAACAAAGAGTATGAGACATTTTATGGACAAGCTCACCTTTCAGTTAAAGCATGCCAAAAGGTTTTTGAAGAAGCAAGTTTGCTTCCAGCTTCACTTCAACTGGAAATGCTTCCAAAATCTGACTTATGGCCTAAGAGTTTCACTATATCAGAGCCGACTGATGATAACATTGCATTGTATTTTTTCCCATCGGACATAAGGTAATTACTTGTATATTTTCACCATGCACCAGTTATTTTGATCAAGTTTTGGTTTATTCTCCTATTTTTCGTGCTATAGATGGGAAAAGGTGTTTGATCGGTTGGTGGAGAAGATGATCAGTAATGAACTTGCTCTTCGAGCAATAGTAACTAATGCTGAGCTTTTGGTTTTCACTTCTACGGAACTGCCCCTGCTATACTGGAGTGAGTTTTTATACACGTACTTTCTATTTTGGTTTTTCCCGAACTACCCAATATGATATAACTTTCTAACAGTGGGACCATACCATAACTGTACAGTTCTCAATGTTTTCTCTATATTCTAGTAACAGTTTTTAAAACAAAAGAAAACTTGGAGACTTGTCATTGATAGGAGATTGGTAATGGGAAGTCGAGGATTGGTGGTCAGTGGATAGATTGGAGTTCCAGAAGGTATGATTCCCAAAAATTGTTTAGGCAGAGAGACAGTGTCTTCGTGTGGGTTAGAAAAGGGGGAGACTTGTCCATTTTTTAAGCCACAGCAGGCCAGACTGAGCTATTCTCCTATTGTATTAAGTCAGTTTCTTTAGAAAAAGTTGCTTCTTATTATATATCCTTCCATTAAGCGAACAAATTAACCAATCATCATTCATGCTTATCAAAGGTGAAGGTTTTATGCCTTGTCATATTGCCACTGGGTTAATGCTTTATGGACAATTTCTCTTAAATTTAAAAATTGTTATTTCTCCTAAAAAAACTTTTAGCTGGAAGTTTGGACCCACTTTCAGTATAATATAACCGTGCCAAATCAAATGAGACAATATAAACTGGAATTGTGGGAGTATTAGATTAAAGATGAATATGTATTCTAGGTTTGCATTACCTTTGTTATCCAAGGTTCATTGTTAAGCTGCTTGAGAAAATCAATTGGCAGGATTCCAGGGTAAGCACTACCTCTGGGGTGTTTTCAGAGCAAAGCGAGATTCCAGTAGGAATAGTATGATGCGAAATGGGAAGAGAGAATCTGAGACTCATCCAACTCCTGGGAATGAATTGGCTGTCAAAGATGGTGGAGATGTCGCAAATGCCAAAACGTGGGATCAGAGTCCTCTTAGCCCTTTGAGCAATGCAAGCCTTGGGTCTGCCACTTCCTAAAGCGTCTCTACTCGTTGTTTTGACGCATTTCCCTCACTTCTGTGATCTAGCATGCTGTTTAACTGGTCGTTAATGCATATATGGGCTGAGGGCTGAGGATCTGGTGGTTAGGACGAAACAGCTTTTGTTTTAGAGCCATCTGGTGGGGAGATTCGCCCGGTTAAAGAACCTAATGTCCTGTGGAAGGTACCTGATTTAACAAAAGCCTTCTGTTACCTGTTGATTTGAGGATCACTGAACCTGCTATATGCAGGAGCATGGTTTTACAGGGCCATTTATCTCGTAATTTCTCCTAATGTGATTATCAAAAGTCTAATCTTTTGCAGTTGTACATGATTGGCCGACATTATTAGTCCAAACGTCACCAAATGGTANTTTTTTTTTTTTTTTTTTTTAATTTTTGGGTGCTTTCCTTTAATCTTTGAGAGGATGTTATGTAAATGAAGGGTATGTAATACTAAACTCTCTTAAATGTAGGGTTGGCAAAGAGGGCGGGACGGGGAGGGTGAAGCCTTTCTTGCCACAGATATAACCTGTCCTGTCCCATTTAACAATAATTCTCTTTTCAACATGCCCCGTCGTGTTTAGCTTTATTTTCTTTTCTTTTTTCTCTCTCCATTTTTCAGTTTGCATGCCCTTATTTGGACGTGTGTGAAACTAGTGCTTGAATGTTGCAGAATGAATCGAGCTTAAATAGTAAAAGGCAAAGAAAAAGCTAACTAGGTTACGGCTAAGAGATATTTCTGATTCATAAAAATAGTGAAAAGGAAAATAGTTACAATTTATACCGTTCAAACTCTACCTGAATCACCCTAAAGAGCAAAATGGATAAGGATTCAGTACAAGACTATTAGGCAAATCCGATCAGGGACTAGATGGTGACATCCCAAGAAATTAACATGCGAAATGTGTAATACATAAGCTTCTACTTAAAACTATTGAGGACTATACTGTTACTTAGCAGAACTTTTTAACTCATTAATGGCTACGTACTCCTCCAGAAGCTTTGAGTCCAACCACGACCAGCTCTCTTCTATTCTCAAACTTGATTTTACATCATTTCTCTCCTCTTGAAATCTTCCTTGTCCTCAAGGAAGGAAGCTGGAAACCTGGTGTTCAGTAAATGATAGTCTTCCCAAGTAGCTTGTTCCTTTGGCGTGTTCTTCCAATGAATCAGAAGTTGAGTAACTACCTTGTTTCCCTTTTTGATCATTCTCCTCTCCAATTTGTTCTATGGTTTAGCACAATAGGTCCACTACTGGGGGGTGATTAAAAGGTTTTAACACATTATAGCAAAGCTTGAGCTGGGATTCATGGAAGGTAGGATGGATAGCAATATGAGAGGGCAGTAATAACTTATAGGCCTCCACCTTCTGTAAAACATGATAAGGACCATAATATTTAGCGGACAACTTAAAAAAATTCTGGTTTGACAAAGTGAACTGCTTGTAAGGTTGTATTTTTAGGTACATCTGATCTCCCACTTGCAACTATCTGTTACTTCTACTCTTGTTTACTAGGGACTGCATTCTTTGCTGAGCTCTATGCATGTGGAATTTGAGCATCCGAGTGTTGAACTCCTTTCTAATCATGCTTCTGTCTATCTCTTAATCTGAAGGTTCTCCAGGTATTAGGGTAAATGAATGGGAGGAGGTTTCCCATACAAGGCTTCATATGGTGTTGTCTGGATTGCAAAGTGGAAGGTATAATTATACCACCATTCAACCAATGGAAGATATGAGGCCTAATCTTGCTGTTTGTCTTAGCAATAACACCTTAGATAGGTCTCCACAATTCTATTCAACACCTCAGCTTGGCCATCCGATTGTGACTGATAAGCTGAAGAGGTGCTCAATGTAACTCCATTTCATGAAAACAATTCATGCCAAAATTTGCTGATAAAGACAGAGTCTAAGTCACTGATAATATTTTCTGGCATGCCACGGAGTTTGAATATTTGATCTAGAAAAACTTGGGCTACAAAAGTAGCAAGGTGGGGATGACTGATAGCAATGAAATGCTCATATTTGGTGAACCTATACCACCACCAAAATAGTAATTTTTCCTTTTGACTTGGGTATCCCATCTATAAAGTCCATGCTAAATATTGAACCATGCTGAATAAGGGATTGCTAATGGCTGGAGAAACGCTGGGAAAGCTACAATGTCATATTTGCTTTCTAACATACTGCACACTTTCTCACATAATTGTTAACTTCATCTCTTAGCTTCTTACAATAGAATAGAGACGAGATTCTTCTATAAGTGTTCTTCATCCGTGAATGCCTCTACTAGTTGAATAATGTCTTGTCTGAGTTGGTTGTCGTTCCCAATCACCAACCTACCATACCTCCTTAGTTGTTAATTAAGGAATATGTAGAACTTCAAATCCTCATCCAGTTTCTTAATCTTATTGATAAGTTTCACCATCTTTGGATCATGCTCCCAACTATCCTTAATCCTCTGAAGAAGTGAAGGCTCAGTGGGTGCAAAAGAGACCATAAACAATTCAGCAGTAGGTAGCCTAGAAAGAGAATCATCTGCCTTATTCTCCCTTTCCTTTTTGCACTCAATTTCAAAATCAAAATGCATGAGTTTAGCTATCTATTTCATCTGTGTTCCCATGTGCATTTTTGTTCCAACAAGAACTTCAAAGCCTTCTGATATGTCCTCACTATGAAGTGTCCTCCCAACACATATTAGGACCATTTAGTGACAGTCATCACTAAAGGTAGGAGTTCCTTGTCATATACTGATAACCCATGGTGCCTGACTTATAATCCTTTACTTTACTGAGATATGCCAATGGATGGCCTTCTTGCATCAACACTGCCCCAATCCCATGTGACAAACATCTATCTCCACAACAAACAACAAAGAGCTATTTGGGAGAGCTAAAACGGGTGCACTAGTCAGTGCTTCCTTCAACATATTAAAGCTTGAAGTGGCCATTTCATCCCAGTAGAACCCCTCCTTCAACAAGCCTGCGAGTGGTTTGATTATAATGCCATACCTCCAAATAAACCTCCTATAGTATCTAGCAAATCCCAAGAAATCCATTAGCTCCTTCACAGATTTAGTAATTGGCCACCACTGGACAACTGCTATCTTCTTAGGAGCAGTGGAATATCCCTTCTGCTGAGATAAAATGGCCAAAATACTCTACTCTTCTAGCCCCAAAAGAGCAATTATACTTCTTGACAAATAATTTGTGTTGAACCAATAAATTAAAAGTGATTCTCAAATGTTGCTAGTGTTCTTCAAAGATGCTTCTCTACACCAGTATATCATAAAAAAAATACCAAGATGAACTTCCTAAGATAGTCCTTGGATACATGGTTCATAAGACTTTGTAAACTTGAGGGGGCATTAGTAAGGCCAAATGGCATTACGAAGTACTCAAAATGACCAGAGTGAGTTGTACAAGCAGTCTTCTGAACATCTTCTTGCCATTCTTATATGATGATAGCCTGACCTCAAATCCAACTTTGAATAAATCTTGGATCTACCTAGCTCATCCAACAATTCCTCTATGATTGGAACTGGAAACTTGTCCTTGACTGTCATTTTGTTAAGTGCTCAGTAGTCAACACATAGTCTCCAAGAGCCATCCTTCTTCCCTATACCAATACCATAAGTGAAGCATAAGGACTAGAACTGGGATGCATTATGCCTTAGTTCAACATCTTCTTAACCAACAGCTCTATGATATTCTTTTGGCTTGAAGAATGCATATATGGCCTAGCATTCACTGGATTCCTACCTTGTTGCAGTGGGATTTTATGATAAAAAATTCCTCTAAAAGGGAAAAGTTCTTTTGAATCAGAAAATAGCCGATGATACTCATCAGTAAGAGTTAAGATATGAGGACGAGTTTCTCTAGATCCTTCTACAACTTCCTCCTCTATTGATAACACCCTGCTCATGAACAATTGGCTACCTGTTTGAGCCAATTTATATAGCCTCTTAGCCTCCACTGTCCTGGTCCCCTTCCTTGATACATAAATCCTAAAGTTAATTTCTGGAAACTCAGCTGGAAATCACCAAGAGGTAAAAGGCACTGTACACCTACGAACATATCACATGACCCAAGTGACAATAACAAGAAATCAACAGTGACATTATCCAAGTGAAACCATCAGCAACATTAACTGATTGATTGCATAAAATACTTCAGCTTCCTAGCTAGCTCATAGTCAATAAAATTATGTGACCTACCATGATCAACCAAGATACTCAAGGGCCTACTTTCAGAATATCTTGTCACCCTCAAGGTATGGGAACCTGGAACCCCGTTCAGTGCATGAATAGAGATCTCACAAGTTTTCTCCTACTATTCCTCAAGATCTGCTTCTACCACTTCTTGCTCTACTAGTTCCTTCTCTACGATTGGCTCAGGATCCTCATTAACTTCCAATAAATACAATTGTTTGGAAGTGTTACACTTGTGACCAACGACAAACTTTTCATCACAAAAGAAGCATAACCCCTTTTGCCTTTTCTCACTCATCTCAGCCGGAGTAAGTTTCCTGGTGATACTCCTATTTAAATTGACAATAAGGTCATTCTTACTGATTCTCTTCTCATCTGAATGTTGTACCCTTGGGCACTGAACTATAAGAGCCTCCTCTAGAATGAGATGACCCTCAACTAAATAAGCCTTAGTTACTTTCAACTGAGCCATAAGCTGAGCTTTAGTATTTCTGGCCAACTGATATGTTTGGGGCAAGAATAAGGCCTGTAGTTCTTGATTGTGAAGCCAATCTCAGATTTTAGGCCAGTGATAAAGGAAGTAATTGCATATTCAGGAAGAATGACTAGCCTAGTCATTTCAAACTCTCTCTAATTATCTTCTACTAGCCTTGTTCGCTCAATCAACTTAATTTCAGCCATAGGGTCTGCATACTCATACCCAAACCCATCCATCAATGCATACACATACTCTTCCCAGGACGGATAAGGTAAATGAGGTCTACTTCTGTCACGACCCCAAAATCCCACCTTATATAGTCGTGATGACACCTAGTCACTAGATAAGCCTAACACATGATGAGATGTAACAAAATTAACCAACTTAATTGTATAAGCAATAAATTGATAAATAAAATAACGTAGCTAAAATCGAACAATTGTTATACAACTCCAAAACCGGTAGTACAGTGTCATAAACTCTACTGAAATACACTAGAAACTCTAAGTACAATACTGCTTTAAAATGAAGATAAATAGTAGTAAAGATAATATTGGGAGGTGACTCCGAGGCCCGTGAGCGTCAAGCAGGTATACCTTGAAGTCTCCAGCCGTGAAGACACAACTCTCAAAACCAACACGATTCGAAGATACCTGAATCTGCACAAAAATGTGCAGAAGCGTAGCATAAGTACACCATAGCAGTACCCAGTAAGTATCAAGACTAACCTCAGTGGAGTAGTGATGAGGTAAGTCGAGACACTCACTAGATAAAACAACCTGTACAAGATATTAACATAAAGCTAGCAATGGAAAGAACATCAATGTAAGGCTAACAACAGAGAGATTATAATATAAAACCAATAATGGAATAATAGAAGCACAAATGGCAACAAGAAGTAAACGCGTAATAAAGCAACAACATTATCAGAAAATAGATGAAACACGAATGAACTCAATTAAGGAAACAAATGACAATTCAAGTAATCAAATCATTCCCAACGCATGACTTGCAACAAAAACTACCCCGAGGCACCACTCCTCGTAACCACAAATCATAAGCCACAATTTTAAATCTTACACGCATAGCACCTCGTGCCCACATTATCGATCATCTTCACACTTAAAATTTCACATGCTACCATGTACATTGTATCCGTGTCAAATACCAAATAAAATATTAGAGATATTTATTTAAATACAATAAGGCATAATAACAATCTTGAATAAAGTAATGCGTCAAATGAGATAATGAGTTTATTTTAGAAATCAAATAAATTAAAATAAAGTACAATTTATATAAAATAGAGTATCAAATGAGTTTAGTTTAGAAATCAATAAAGTAAAGTAAAGTAACGTTTTAAAATAAAGTAAAATATCAGATAAGTTAACGAATAATATATAGACCTAGTTAAAGTAAAGCGTGATAACAATTTTGAGTAAAGTGAAACATCAAATAAGGTAATGAGTTTAATTTGAGAACCCAATTAAAGTAAAATGTGATAACCATTTAAGATAGTAAAGCACCGAGTGAGATAACAGATTCTATCTTACGAGTCACATAAAATAAAGCATGTTAATAATTATTTTATTTAAAACCATTATGTTGCTAACAACTCAACAGAATATCAGATAGTGACTCCACGCATGTAAAATCATTTTGATAATCAACTCACCAAGTAACAACGGAGGCACAAATTGGCACATTAAAATAGCACAACAAACCGCATAGAATGCATGACTCACACAAGAAGTCACAATTGTTCCAACATAAGAATAACAACAGATAACAAAATACAAGTGAAATGATCTAAGGAAAAACAATGACCGTTCAATCAATGAGCCTTCCGACATAGAATGTACGATAAGAATCACAACCGAGGTACCGCACCTCATAATCATATTTCACAAGTCACAATCACAATCTTCCTTATATCACCGCGTGAGCCTTGCATTTATTTTAAAAATATATTTTTTCAAAATAGCTACACGCATTTTAGCCCCCTTATCTCACCGCGTAGCTTCAAGTAATTCCCTTACTAGCAACACGCGTATAAATCCAACTTTATTTCACCGCATGAGTTTCAATACCCACCCTTATATCGTCGCATGCGTATCGATATCACAATACAGTAATCAACTCGCACCACACGTGCCCATATGCCACAACATTATCAAAATTAATAATACTAATGTTGCCATAATTCATAGCCCACGACTCAATCATAATATGTACAAGAATCTCAATAACAATAAAATGAATGAGGAACAACTCAACAAGGAAAGATATCCCAATAATCAATAACTTCAGCCATAATGTGTCAATAGCTTTCACAACTACAACCTCAATAACTCAACAATGAAGGTATTCCCATGAAATGACAACTTCTAATTAAGGCATAACATAAGCTTAACAATGAAAGAGATAGCATGAAATAGAAGCTATAACTAAATGCATGAGAGTAACTCAACAATGGAGAGAATAACATGTAACATCAACTAAAAATAAATGTATATAAGAGTAACCTTGACAATGAAAACTAGAGCATGTATTAACAACTTCTATTACGGCATGTAAGACTAAACTTGACAATGAAAGATAAAACAAATAATAATAACTTCAACCAAGTGCTTATAAGTAGCCTAAAAGTCTAAACATGTCAAGTACCACATATAAGCCCGTGTACACACTCGTCACCTCGTGTACACGTCTTTCACATAGTTCAAATAGTATAATCAACCCAAATCCTAAGGGGTATCCCCTCCCCCTCCACAAAGTTAGGCAAGATACTTACTTTAATTAGGCCATATCGATACTAAAAAAAGCTTTTCCTTTAAAAGTTCACCTTCGCTCGGCTCAAATCTAGCCAAAAATGACTAAATAATATCGAATAATGAAGAGAAACCAATTTTAATTAATAAAACTATGATCTATATACAATTTCTCAAAAGTCAACCCCGAGACCGCCCGGTCAAAACTCAAGTCCAAGGGTAAATCTCGACTACTCATAACCCCACGAGTACATATATGTATTTTATTTTCAAATCCAAGTCCAATTCGACTCTCAAATCTCAAATTTTCATTTTCAAAAATATAGACAAAATTTCCCAAAATTTCTCTTAGATTCTCATGAATTTAATATTAAGTCTCATATATAATCATGTAATATAATTGAAAATTGATCAAAGTCACTTATCCAATTGTTTGGTATGAAAATCGCTCCACAAAATCGCTGCCCACCGAGTCTAAGGCTCAAAAAGTGATAAAATGAAGCTAAGTCCCGAAATACTCAACTATAAACAAGCTGCAAATGTCGCATTGCGACTTGGGGTTCGCAAATGCGAACCCTTCAAATACCGAGAAATGATCGCAAAAGAGACCACTGGCCAACACTGAAGAAGTTGCAAAAGCGACAAAAAAGTTTGCAAAAGCGAACCTGATAGACACCGCAAATGTGAGAAAAAGGTCGCAAATGCAGCCTGCCCAGCCTCCAGCTCCCACTGCAAAAGAGATCTATAAGTTCGCAAATGCGAACACAATAGTTCCACCCCAACCTCGCAAATGCGAACCAAATCTTGCATTTGCGAGACCTGAAGCACCTGACCAAAAACCAGCAAAGCTTAAATTCTTTCAAACACTCTGAAACGCATTTGAAACTCACCCGAGCCCCCGGGGCTCCAAACCAAATATCTACCCATAAGTACATAAATATCATACAAACCCGCTCGTGCGATCAAAATACCACTATAACTTCCGAAACCACAAATCGGACACCAAAACACATGAAAATCCCAATGAACTTCAAGAACTTCTAAAAACACAACCACGCGTCCGAGTCCTATCAAACCAACTCGGAATGACACCAAATTTTGCAGACAAGTAACAAATGACAAAACAGACCTATTTCAAGTCCCGAAACCAAAATTCTAACCCGATAGCCATAAAGTCAAACCATGGTTAAACATAAGAAATTCTAAACTTTTAAATTGCCAACTTTCGGCATAACAAATCAAATCAACCTAGGGACCTATGAATTCAATTCCGGGCGTACGACCAAGTCTAAAATTACCGTACGAGCCTAACGGAACTATCAAAACTCCGATCCGAGATCAAATATACTAAAAGTCAAACTTGGTCAACTCTTCCAACTTTAAGTTTCTAAAATGAGAATCACTCTTCCAAATCAATCCCGGACCACTCGAAAACTATAATCAACGATATACGCAAGTGGTGATACACCATATGAAGCTATTCATGACCTCAAACTATTGAACAAAGTGAAATTGCTCAAAACGACCGGTCGGGTCATTACATTTTCTTCCACTTAAACATACGTTCGTCCTGGAACGTGCCAAGAGTCGTCCTAAAGCCATCAAATCACTGTATAACCTTCTCGTGCACATACCCGTGGGTGATCCCACGTCACCCCAATCCATATAAGCCTGGCAACACTACCTAGCTGATGATCCTTACTTCAACCTTATCCCATAAACCTTAGAGTCAAAGTTTCAATATCTGGAATCCATTACAAGACCCGATTCTCACATCTATACACTATATAAGTATGAACAAGCCTAATCAAGACATAGTCGTAACCCAAAATGTAATCACATGATATACCACATAACTAAGATACTCATCACAGCAGCTTCCGACCACAATAGATTCTCAATGACCAGCTCGGTTCCGGTAACAAACCTCATATAAAACAAAACCTCATTCTAAACCTTCGTACACTGCCAATGATGGAGGAAAAACGCATAAAATCATAACCACTCGTCAGATGAATAAATCATAGAGCTTTCTCACCCGATCAGAACTGTCACGACCCAATTTCCCTTATAGGTCGTGATGACGCCCAACGCCGCCGCTAGGCAAGCCAACAGTGAATTAGCCGTGTATTCATTTTGTTTTAAAATCTCAAGGTAGTTGATTTTTATTTATTAAATAAGTGATAAGTGAAAAATTTAATAAAGTAAAGAGAAAACTAATAAAAAATCAATTGTAGTGAAATAAATGCTCAAAAGCCATGGAGTCTACTAGCATGTTTCCAAGACATGGTGTCACAAGTGTATGAACGACTAGTAGAATATACAAAATACTAAGCTACTATCTAAAATAGGGTAGACAGAAAATAAATACAAAAGAGAGACTCCGGGTGCTGCAGGACGGACTCAGAAAGTAGCTCAACACTATGCCTCAGGGTAATGGGGG